AGGAAAAGCAAAGTCAACACACCGTTGTCTTGTCGAGAGCAAATGGCTTTACTATTGTGGCAGAAGCAGGAAACTTTGTTTATTGAAAAAAAAAAAAAAAGAAAGAAAAAGCAAGAAAAAAAATACTATGGGGTCAAGTGTAACTCCGTGGAAATGCCACATCTGCTCTTCAGTGAAGAAGCTGCTTAGAGTCTCACAGAAAACTTTTTGACTGTATTTATTTATTGTTGCAAAAAAGACGCTTTTTTATGCTGCCCTCATTTGTCAGCTAATTATTTTTTCTTATAAAAATCCAGCCCTGGTTCCGTGTATCCACCCCGTATCTTATCATGATTCCTGTAGGTGACGTACAAGGCGACCTCTGGGTGTCTTTTCTTTCTATGAAAGGAGCTGCTATGTACACATGTGCACACAACTGGGAGTCAGCAATGAGTTTATCGTTCACGGGAGACACAAGGGAAGCTTGCAGAAAGGTTGGGCTAAGTGGTCCTGGACTACAGACTTCGTTGCCTTGAATCCACCAGTACAAATTGTCATTACTCTGCACCAGGCTGAATGAGCAAAATCTATTTGAAGGTATCTTGTTTGTAAACATTGTCAGATTCTAATTTTTTTTCTTTTTGTATTAAAATTCAACTATGGATGTATATGAATCGAAATAAATGGAGATAATTTTTCTCCCACAGATGGAGGTCTCTTTGAATGTGCGCTGTGATTGCCTGTAAGCCTTTTTGGGGATGGGGGGTCACGGGGAGACCAGGAATGACAGGCAGACCTGGATTTCTCCAGAATAGCAGAGGCCCTTCCTTCCCTAAGTCCCTTGTCACCACATCAGAGAAAATCTCCAGGGAGCTGGCCCCACACATCATGTGGTCATACCTGTAATAACAGGAATATGACACAGTACAAGTTGCCTTCATCCTCACCTTCTGTAACTGTAGGCAAATTCCCAATCACAGACAGCTCCCTGTGTGAGATAAAGGGTGTTTGCTGGCTGGGTTCCTTTGGGTTTTGTTTGTTGCAGTAGAGCAGGGTAGAGGATAGAACAGACAGGCTTGCCCTGCATGGTTCTCTTTGGAGTGTCTCACCCTCCCCTTTGAGCTGCTTGCTGTGTTGTGAAAACCAGCCGGAATTGGACCAGGCAGCCTCGCAGATGTTCCCCTAGATTTTGCACTAGTCCATATTAGCCTTGTCCTGCTGGGTTCTAGAATCTACCTAGTTTTTGTTTTTTTTATAAGTCTTCTCTGTGCGTTTGGTGTCGCCCTGCTATGCAAAGCCTTCCCCAGCCCTTAGTTTCTTGAAAGGAAACTGTGGCAGCAGTTGGCAACTCTTTCTTATGACAGGCTCAGGTGTACAGGTTCTTTTGGGTTCATGTGCTCTATCGAAGCCTACTACTCCCTCTGTACATAAAAATGTCGCTTTAGCCTATGCTTACAGCTAAAGAGACTTACCTGCTCAATACGGTAACAAAGTTTTTGCTTAAACTATTAAGGTGGAAGTAGTTAAATACAGGCTATTTTGTCCTTTTAGTTTTAAAAAAAAAAATGTTCCATGTAAGCAGTGGCTGATGCAAAAATTCTCCATCCTAAAGATACAAAGTGATTCCGCATCTGCCCACGCCCAGTATTCCTGTCCGTTCATATATCTAAGCATATATGGGCTTAATCACTTAAGCTTGTTGCAGCAAGAGCTTTCCTACCTGTAGGCAATAGATTGCTATGTTTTTAACAAATTGTAGCAAATTCTAAATAATCCTTTTTGTACGTAATAGGACATTTCATCCTAAAAAAAAAAATAAAGTAATGTTTTTGACATTGGATTCTGTGCAGTTTCTAATGAAACAATGGCTGGTTGGGTCAATGTTTGCTATATTTTCTGAAGCTGTTGGCATTGCCAAGTTGTACAGAAAGGGGGGCGGGTGGGTATGGGTTGTGGATTTCTGAGACCAGGAAGATGTTAATTTCTTATTTGTGTACTTAATGGTATAAAGACTTTTGCAATTTCTATCACCATATAAAGACATTTTATAATTTTATCAGACTATAGAATTTTAGTCTTTCAAAAGGAATTTTTGAAAACGTACATTCTTATTTCAAAAGCTGCTTTTCTACAAATCTCACTTGACATACTTCTGCTACTTAAGAAAAACGTTAGGCTGTCTGCCTCGGCAGACCAAGTGGTCCGATTCACATTTGTGATATGGTTAGGGTGTTTGCTCAGGTTCTGTGCCTATACGTTGTATTTCTTTGCTTTGATAGATTTCTTTGGCTAAAAGTATTTTTTAGCATTTCCTGTGCTCATCCCCACTTCACGATTTAAGACCATTTCTGAAGAGATATTTTCATAATAGCAGTAAAGCTTTTTTCTCCTGTGCAAATTCTTGAGGGTTTGTATTTACTGTCTGTCCTACGCTAGGTCAAAGAAATTGCAATCTTTTGGAGACGTTTTCTACAGTAAAACTGACCTTTTTCTATTTGGAATGGGCTGGAGTGCGATGTAGGGACCCTGACAATGTGCTGCTGTTTGTAACCTCTCCTGTTAAGATCTGCAAATAAAACTTCTTTCCCTGTCTCCGTCCATCTGTGTCAGGTCCGATCTCACTCCTTGCGGTTCTGATGTAGGACCCAACCTGGTGGCTGCCCGCTCAGAATGACAGCCCTTACCTTTGTTTGTTGTTATGTTTTATTTATTTTTATGGGTATGAGTGTTTTGCCTGCATGTATGTATGTGCACTGTGTGTGCCTGAAAGCCCTTGGGAGGTCAGAAGAGAATACTGGATCCTTTGGAAATGGAGTGTACTAACTTAGGCCACCATGCGGATGCTGGGAACTGAACCCAGGTCCTCTGCAAGAGCGGCCATCTCCCCAGCTCCCAGAAGTCACTGTTTTCCTGGTGGGGGCAGGTTTCCAGGCAGCATCTTTAACTTGGAGTGTTGTTCTCTCCTGATGGAAGTAATGGCTTCATGGGGGGGGGGGGGGCATGAAGGACACCCGGAGGAGCGGTCTTGGCGTCTGGAGTAGTTTGAGGAGTTTTTAGATACACAGAATGAGCTTCTGAGAATAGCACACCCCCTGATCCAATGTAAGCCAAATATCAACTAACAAAGTGCTGCATTTTCAGACAAAAAGAGACCGTGCACAAGTCAGCGGGTGCCCCTGAAAGTGGCAGGCACATACATTCAAATGATTTCAGAAGAACCTTGCAAAATGCCATAGGATATTCTAGAGTCAGTTTTTAAAAGCAAGTATTACACAAAGGGGACAGGGAGTTGTCGTATAGACCTCCTCCTACCAAAAGAAAAACATGTCCTTTTCCCCTCCTTGAAGTCACAGCGTTATCTGAAGGACAGATGCTGCTGAGTTCCTCTTGACAGCAAATGAATTTTTTTCTTGCTGAGGGAGACTACTGTGTATGTGCATAGGCACAAAGGGCCCTTTAGTCTTTTGGAGCACTGATCCATGAAAGGGGTGGAGGGTGGGGTTAGGGGAATATCAATGGGGGAAAAGGGATTAGAGACAACAAAGATATTTGCTCATTAAATTTTTCTATAAAATTAGAAATTGCAACCAAGGTCCCGTGTGAATGTCGAAAAAATGATTCTTCCAACCTTTTTGCTAGCCTGGAATGGCCAGGGTTCTTTTCTGTCTCCTTTTCCCGTCTCTAGCTCATGGCTGATGGACCTTGACTAAGCCTCACTAGCCTTGTCTTGCAGATCCAACCTTGAATGGTGGCTTTTCTTTTTATCCAGGCAGTCTCTGCAACAAGTGGCCTGACCTCCAAGTATATTGAACCTGGGTCTGGTGTTTGTTTTCATGTATATGTGTCTGCAGGGAGGTGTGGGCAGATGCCCCCAAGCGAGCCAGAAGAGGGTGTGGGGGACCCTAGAGCATGGATGCTAAGAACAGGACTCCAGTGTCGGGGCAAAAGGAGCAAGGATCCTAACAACTATCCTAGCCCACTCCCCCCAACCCCTTTCTGGAACAGGGTCTCATGTAGCCCAGGCTGGCCTCACCTATGTAGCCAAGGATGACTTTGGCCATCCTCTGCCTACTGAGCGCTGGCTAGCATTACAGGCTTAAACTATCATACTTAGTATTCCAAAGGAAAGATCAAGGAATTTGGACACATTTCATCTTTGGAAAATTCTCTAAAAGACCTTAAACTGGTGATTTGTGATACAGAGAGCCCAGCCTGCAAGCTCTTGTTCATCCCAGCAACTTGAAAGGCATGGAGCCAGGCTGGCTTCCGAAGCAAGTACCCGCCAAAGGCTACATGTGTGTCCCATGTCTGAGGCCAAAGAGGCAACAGTTACTATGGCACATGGCTCTTCCACCACCTCCAGAGAGGCACTCTGTAGCCCTGGCTGTCCTGGAACTCAGAGATCCATCTGCCTCTGCCTCTGCCTCTCAGGTGCTGGGATTAAAAGTGGTTCCATCTCACCCAGCATCTTTTTTTGAGATTGGTTCATGTAGCTTAGGTTGGCCTTGAACTCTTGACACACACCTCAGACTCCCAAGCACACTGCCATCCCTGGCTATACATTTTGTCATAAGCTATTGCTGCTTGCTTCCTTCCCAGTCAGCTCCAGTGTTCCTCTGTCTTTCCTTTGACACCCTTCATGCATGCTGTTCTCCCTGTGGCTCTGACTGGCCTGGAATTCACAGATATCCTCCTGCCTCTACCTCACCAGGGTTGGGATTGAAGGCTCATGCGTTCTTAGTGCCTATTCACAGCACTTCAAATGAAAAGAAATACAGCTTGCTCCTCTGAAAGAAAAATCACCATGTCCTCGTGGACTTGAGTATAAAATCATTAAGTTAGTGATTGAAGATTTTCCACACAAAACAAAACCAGTTCCACTAGGCTGGCCCATGGGCTGGCACTGGTAAACATTGCCTCCAAGGTTTGGGAAGAAAGTTTGAGAAAGGAAGGCCTTTTCTCAAATCTTTAGGATCACTGAAGCAAAAACAACAACAACAAAAAAAAGCAAAGCCAGGCGCTTTCTGATTTCATGACGAGATTTACTGCTTTCCGAAGACAATCATGATACTACAGGATCTTAACATAAAAATGACATCAGATACAGCAGGTAATGGGCTGGAATCGATGACAGTTTGGCACAAAACAGGTTATTGGGAGCAAGGAGGCATGACAATACACAGGGGCTTTTATTTTGGTACATCAGGAACACACCTTGAATAATGTTTTGCTTGAATTAGCCCTTGAAATGTATAGTTGGCTGGCGTTTGATCTCTATGGCATTTCATATGTAAATGACTAAGATGCTTACCCTCCCGTGTGTGGAATTTAAAACTCGATGCTTTAAATACAAAATCTGGCTTGACACATGATAGATACTATTCAAAGTTGCATATTTAAATTCGAGAAATGTTTTGTGAACTGTCTCCACTGGGGGAAATGTATTAAATTAAAATAACTTAAAAACAGCAAAAGTGGTGTGATCTGTTGACCTGCGGGGTCTAGTGTAAAAGGGACAGCTGTGGAGCTGAGCTGCACACGTGGTCCATAAGGTAACTAGCTGTGGGCCCAGTTTCACAGAAGCCTCCCGCCACGTGAAGACCGACCACGAGTGCCAAGTCGGCCTGTTCAAATGCACCGGGTGTGGGTGGCACCTCGAACTTGCCACTCCCGCTTTCGGTTAAACCTCTTCACGTAGCTGCTGCTACCCCGGATCAGCCCGTCTCCTGGACGCAGGCGCCCTCTTAGGACCTGGAACAGAGCACTGGGGAGCTGCCGTCTCTTATGGTAGATGTGGCCCATCACAATATACCTGCTTCCTGAACAAAAGCATAAGAGAAACGGTGTCATTTAAGTGCCAAGACACAATGAGATCTGAGCTCGGATCGCGTGACCCTGCTGCACTTGTTGCAACTTCATCTAACCTATTGGCAACAGGTGAAAAACAGGAGAGCAGGTCATCTGCAGACAGGCAACACTGCAGAACCAAGTGTTCTTCAGAGACCATCTCTAGGAAGAAGCGAGAATAGGTATCCCCAACACTGCCACCGCCCCCAAGGAGGCCTTTTTCAACTCAGTGCTGGACAGTAGAAGCTCTTAGGCACCCCTTTTGAAAGTGCCGTTCCGTTGTCAACCTATGTACCAACATATCGGTCTTTGGGGATTTGTTTTGTTTTGAGAAGGTCTCTTAGCCAGAATTGGCTTTTTTTTTGGGGGGGTTGACCTTGAACTTCTGATCCTTCATGCTTCCAAACTGCTCCTGGGTGCTGGAGTTGCACCATCACCGCTGGCCTTTTCAGTGCCAACCAATGTTCTCACCTTTATGAGAGAGCTGAAATGGCGCTGTCATCTAAACTCTACTGATTAAACTACTGTCCCACAAAGGAGTTGGGATTGAGCCCCACCAGTAACCCAGCATGTGTTAAGGCTGAAACAAGAGGATTATCGTAAATTCGAGGCTAGGCTCCGTATCAAGAGCCTGTCTGAAAAAAGACAAATTCTGGGAGTGTAACTTATGGCGTGCTTGCCTAGCGTGTGTGAGGCCCTGCTCAATTCCTGGTCTTTGAAAAGGGGGTTGGGTGCTGGGGTGACCAACAGAAGCTGGGCTGCAGCATTCACCCTAATAGCAGTATAAAGGACAGGATGAACTGGCCTTTTCGGGGGGCGGGGTTTCGATACCGGGTTTAAATTCTGGACACGGCTTATGGCAACTGGAGGAGTCCAGGGCTAGTATATGCACGCGGAAGAAAAAGCCGTCGGGAGTGATGTACAGGCGGCTCATCTTATACAGTCCGTCGGGGTCCACCAGAAGAGTCACCAGACGCATGCCCGCGCCCAACACGTCCACGTCGTGCACGATTCCGTTCACGGCTGCTTTGGAAAAACGGGATTTGGAGAAAAAGCATTACAAGTAGCGCCAGGACAGGGACGGGTGCGCGGGTTCCGGAGACGGTGCAGCGCGCTCACCGAATTCGCTGGAGCAGTAGGCCTCGCGCTCGTCCGCGTCCGCGCTGCAGGCGCGCGCGCAGGACTGGGTCTCCAGCTCCCCGTCCTCGGGCGACAGCGCC